CCTAATCTCTAAGAGACCTTGTTCTATCACATAGACTGATGGCAGGCGTAGCTGAGTGTCCATGCCAAAAGACACAGACACACACACACACACACACACACACACACACACACACACACACACACACACTTCAACCTTCAGACTCACCGTTTCATAAAACTAAGTGTCACATACTCATACACTCACTCAAAGGTTTATGCAGCCATCCTTGTTAGGACACTACATTGACATCATTTCATTGTGGACAGTCGATCCCTAACCGTAACCAGGACCTCAGAAGAAACATTTGGCCTCATTAGGACTGGGCTTTGCTCCCCATGAGGTCTACTGGTCCTGAAAAGGTCAGTGTTTATGGTGGAGATGGTCTCAAGAGGTAGAAAAATGTGTACACAGTCAGATCTCAGAGGATGTGATTAAGTATGTGCATTGAGAGGGCTGCATCAGACTATTGGCTGTTTATCTGCAGCCCCACTTGCCGACCAGCCCGGGGAAATGTCCAATCAGGAGAAGGGATGTACCAGTGGAGATGCTTGTTAATCGCAACATCGGGAATCAATTTACATGCACGGTGCGTGCAAGGAGTAATATGGAAGTCAACATTTACTCTTTGGCCTGAGTCCCTGAGAACTAAAAAAACACCCACTGAGAGAGGAGGGTGTTACTGATGTGGTCATGTGATTACATGATTTGGAACGCTATTACGTCAATTTGTAAAATTGGTCAAATGATAAACTTGCATTGATTGAGAGAGCAGTTTCATACTGATCAGATAACAGTGCTCAGAGATCCACACATTCACAGAGTAAATGGTCGGCATTTATATAGCACTTTTCTGATTTGATTTTTTTTTGCCATTTACCCATTCACACACACATTCATGCAGGGCATCTATGGGCAGCACTTTTTTTTCTATGAGGAGAGATTTGGGGTTCAGTATCTTGCTCAAGGACACTCGGCATGCAGATGGGGAAGATTGGGATTGAATCACCAACCTTCTGGTTAGATGATGATATAGCCACACAGTCATCAGTACTAGGCTGGAGCAGCACTGTAAATTGACCAGGCTTATGTAGAGGAGCAGCAACACCAAGAAGGCTTACATCATGCACACATACAGATGTGAGGTTAATTTATTATCTATAATTCAGCAGTTCATTAAATATAGACAGAACATTTTATTTTAGAGCCATACACAGAGTTTATAGGTATGACTAAAACGTTATTCATTCATTTTTAATTACTACCTTTTTGTCAAACTAATCGTAGACTAAAATGGAACTCCGCCTCCATCAAGGCCCATAGTGCACTCTTCCTACACTTTATGTTTGATAAAAATGAATTCCCCAAATTATTATTTAGTATTAATAGTAAATACATTTTCTGTTAATTTTTAATATTGATCACAGCAACACTAATTAATACAGACATACAATCAAAAAAAAGTTAACAAAAAATCAATGTAGTACTACAATGTAGTACATGTAGCTAAGAGCTAAGAGTACATTGAACCTTAAGAGAGCTTGGAGAAAGCAAATCTGCAATGATGGACTTTGGAGCTTATCAATCAGGAGGAACAGGAAGGGAACACAGTTATTCTAAATGGCAAAGGAGAGGAAGACATCCCTAGGTGTTGAGATGGGCGAGGTGTGACAACCAGAGATGAGGGAGGTGCGAGAGTGAGAAAATGATCATATGGTCTATCAAAATGCAAAATGGAGCACTTGGGACTAGTCCCCCTGCTACTATTAACCAGTAGAGAGCTGCTCTGATTAACATATGGTGAGGAAGGGAGCGAGAGCATGTTCGCACGCACGCACGCACACGCAGACACATCGGCAAGGCGGCTTCTCTCAGTGATCGAAGACTAGGCTCATTCATTTGGATCAAACCAGTGTTCCAAGACATGGTAAAGGGAATGAATGGTGATGACTATAAAACTCATAGGGGAGTGTGCACTGTATGTGGGGCTGCACTAGTGTGTGTTAATCTATCACTGTATGCATTTTGTAGGAGTTATCATACATTATAATCAATTAAAAAGAAAGATACATATTTAATGATATGAACCAGAGCACACATGCACACACAGAGGGTGCACTGTGTATTTCTGCTGTGGTGGCTCGAGAGACAGCTATCTGTCAGGGTGCAGGCTCATCTCGCCCATGCGAAGGTTATTATGACTCAATCGCAGAGCGTTTGAGTGAGCTAGCCCAAACAGCACTCAGCAGAGCTCCTACCTAACTGGGGGAGAGACGATAATGCACTTCTGAAATATGACACCCGTCCCTGGCACCACTACACTCCCACCATATGCACATCCTTCTATATATTAGACAACACTGCATCTACATCTGACTGCCACAATCTGTGCTGGTGCACTGATGTTGCCCTGGCTGAATGACACCAGTGTAACATTATTTTGGATTTCTTCTCCCATTGAAGCACAAAGAAGAAGATGTTCATTTACCTAGGAGCAACAAGGGGCCTCATGCATGATATTGATGAATGATTTTAAGATTCCAGCTGCATGTTCTGTGTCAACAATGTCACCTGTGCTGTATATTTCATGCTTAATCCCATTAAAGGTGACCCACTCCCTCTCCTTTGGCCTGCTGTTTGAATAAGCTCTGTGAGGCCATAAACATTCTGCTGTCCCATTGATTACAGGGTAATAGTTGAATAGATTAATGTGTTTCTTAGGGGGATGATGCCTTGGCAATGAATCTGAATCACTTACACCGACACAGCAAGTGCAGCAGCCTCCAAACCAATACCCTGCATTTTCTATCTCCACTCATATTTCACACACCAATTACTGGTTAGTCCTTCATAAAGCTTCTTCTCATCTTTTCCTCAACAGACTTACACAGACCTCCTCTGGCTTGGCGAGTTAATCAATTTGGAAATGTCATTGCTGGAAAGTGACAATAAAATTCAGCTATCGGGTGGCACAGAGGGGGAAAAAATTTGAAGTCAGAATGAGAAAGTTTAGGAGAACATGCAATAAAACAGGTTAAGTGTGATTGTGTGTTGGGGGCTGCAGCATTACAATATATACTGTATTGCAGAGTCCAACGCTGATGGAACAGTGCTTTCAGAGCTTGTGCGCTCAATATCCCCCGCTGCCGATAATGCGCAACACTACATCACTGGCATTAAATATTCAGAAGCTCAATTCAACCAGGTGAACTCGTGCACTGACGCTCACCCGAGCACATGAAGGAAACACGTCACACTTCTGTTCAAGATAAGCAAAACTGATTTACACTATACAAAGTCAATTACTACAGTCACTCTCTTCAAAGCTTATTTATTGTCCTTCTCTGGTCTCAAATTGAGGAGGTGGAGGGGGCCGCAGCCCCTCCGTCAGCTGCACAGTTCAGCCGGGCCTTAACCATTCCCTGCTGGAAATGAAGTCATTTACAACAGGAGGAACAATGTGGGGTATTAATGAAACATTTTCAGCTGCTGCCACCACAAAAAAAATTTACACTAAAAAGCAATTTCCCAAACAAAACTGAATTCAGCAAATTGTGCCATGTTGAATGGGTAAATGATGAAAACAGAGTTCATGGTTACAATGTGAAGAAAAGCGAATAAAATAATTATGAGAAGAATTAAAGTAATATTAGTTTTACACAGTATGTTTCACTGTCCATGGTGCTGATTGTCTGCTTGAGATCACAGGGGAACACTTGGCTGAAGAAGTCATTACTTTTAAATGATTCTGTATTATTTCATCTGCTCTTTGAATATAGATTTTGTATCAAATCATTTGCTGTCTTTTGATTGAAATGACATTACTTCTTGTCTTTGAGGTTTTGTGTTCCTGTTTTTCCTCTTTGTGAAACACTTTGTAACAGCTGTTTCGAAAGGTTCTATATATATAACGTTATTATTAAAATAGATGTTTTCATGAACTATTTTGTTTCCTCCTGAGAGAGCGCTCACTGTATGAGCCTCAACTTCCTGCTCCAAAAAAAGAAAGTGAATTACATCATTGCTGAGAATGCACCCGAGAGGGTACCGTCATCTTCTCGCAGTATTTCCCCCCAGAGACAAGAATCTATACAAACCAGTTGATACTCATGACCTCATGGACTTCTCTATTGTGCTGTGTGGTGGAAGCCTCTCACCTGGTTATTAATGCGTAGAGCAAGGTGCTTCCTCTCCCGAGCCAGACTCCCGCTGCGCAGCCTCGCCTCCTCTCCCTGGTGCATGCTTCTGGAAGGACACCGCTCAAGTTAAGACACACACAAAAACAAAAACTCTCCAAAACATGAAATCTGCTTTAACCTCCTGAGCCTGCGAACAGCCTGTACTCTCTCCTCCTCTTGCTGCAGCAGAGAGTGGCGTTCTGCAGGATTTCATCACTCATCGGTGCATGTCGAGGAGCAGCATGATGCAGGAGCTCCCCTCGCACCTTTGAACATGCATGCACACGCGTGACTGGGATGAGTCTGCGGAGGTGACACTAACCTGTGCGCGCCGTTCCTCAGCATGACGAGCTCCCTCTCCGCGGTCAGACAGAGATGAAGTGAGCGCACCGGGTCGGGAGTAGCCGGAGAGAGAGAGGAGAGAGAGGAGAGTGAGGGGGGGGGGAGAGAAAGCAGCCAATGGGATGCCGTGCGTGTGACTGCGCGCGTGTGCGAGGTGTCATTTAACTTGGCAATCGCAGCATTAATTATGTCTCTCTGGGGAGAGCACAATCGCATGCTACAGTATCTCAGCCTATTATGTCAGGCTTTTTCAAACGCTCCACTGCCAATCTATTTGCTCATGGCCCAGATATGGCGCTGTAATGGTTTTAGATTAGACAGGTGTGTGCTGGGAACAAGAGGGGGGGGGGAGACTCACAAGTTGAACAAACACCTTCATTTGGTATTAGCACACGTCACACACATTGTAGTAATAGGTGAGGCGCAGGAGAACGTATCCATTTATCAGGGGGACCAAGGTTTGGACTTGTTCTCCAAAAGTATCCCAAGTTGACCTTTTGAATGGAGGACTTCCACATCTGTCCAGTGAGCAGCTACTACAAGAGGATCCTTCTCCCTGCCTCTTACAGTCTGGTGTTCGTGCTGGGTCTGACTCTAAACGGCGCCCTGCTGTGGTGCGTGTGTTGCCGGACGCGTTGCTGGAGCAGCACGGTCATCTACATGACCAACCTGGCCGTGGCGGACCTCCTCTACGTGCTGTCCTTGCCCCTTCTCATCATCAGCAACGCCCGCGGGGACCTGTGGCCCTTCGGCGACGTCATCTGCAAGTCGGTCCGCTTCTTCTTTTTCGTCAACCTCCACTGCAGCATGATGTTCCTCGCCTGCGTCAGCGTGCACCGGTTCATCGGCGTGTGCTTCCCCATCGCCGCCGTGCGCCTCAGGACCAAGCGGCTCGCTCTCTTTACGTCTGGCGCGGTTTGGGTCCTGGCCACGGCGGAGATCTTACCCACGCTTGTCTTTGCGCACACGGGAGTGATCAACAACATGACCGTGTGCTTTGAAATGACCAACCCGAAGCAATTTGGCGTGTACTTCCCCTATGGACTGTTCTTAGCCATAGTGGGGTTTCTCGTTCCATTCCTGCTCGTTGTCACATGTTACTGCTCCATGATGAAGGTGCTTTACTGCAGGGCCGCTGGCACCATCTCCAACACCACGACGGCTCTTGTGCGCAACAAGTCACTGTCCACCGTCTTGCTCGTGTGCCTCGTGTTTGTGGTGTGTTTTGTGCCATACCACGTTACGCGCACTGTGTACCTGTTCGTGAGGGTGTACATGCCCGCGGACTGTCAACTGGTAAACGTGGTAATGATCTCCTATAAAGTCTGGAAACCGGTGGTGAGTTTCAACTGCTGCGCAAACCCCCTCCTTTACTTCTGGGGCTCCTATCGGCGCAGACAGAAGCTGCGGGCCTGGCTGTGCAGGAGGAAGAAGAGGGTGCAGCCCAGTGTGTGTGTAGTGGATGTGGGCAGCAGAAACAGGTCCGGAGGGTAGACAGCATCTATCACAAGACTCAGTCCATACTGTGACTTTTATCACGTGTAGTGGACAGTGATGATAATGAGGATAATGCCAACACTTGTTTTTAATAACTACATTTATTATGTTAAGCATAAAAATATGTATTTGGAAACATTCAACAGGTGACAGAAGTCACTGACTTGTGAGGCATCCCTTTTTTGGACACTATACTCTATTATAGTAATTTAATGTAACCTATAAAACCTGGAAGAACAGCAAACCTAAGGACATCACAGTAAATGCTGAGATTGCTAAATGTGGTTATTTAAAAGCAGGGACACTGTAGCCTGGAGGGATATTAAAGCATTTGTGGGAATTACTGCCCTCTGTCGTTTGAAGAGTCTCTAAAACAGACCCTAAAAAACAGCATCCATTGCACCATAAAGCCACAGCATCATTCCACGGCAAAAAAAACAACTGCAGAGTGAAATAGGTTCAAAAAGATAATAATTAAAGGAAAAAGAACAAACACCTTTCTTCATACCCCGAATAACAGAACAACTTTTAACTTTATGGTAAGTGCTACAACATTAAAAAAAGGACATGTTTTTTTTAGTGCGTACTTGTCTTGAGCCACAGAGCTACAGCGCAGGTGGAGCAAGCAGATGAATGAAGGGCATCATTTCAGAACACTCCTGTGGGCCAGTGATGACAGATGGGTAGAGCAGTGATCTGGGAGCTGCAAGCAAAAGACAAACAACAGTTTGACTAAAGAGGAAAAGGAGACCTTGGTTTTAGAGTTACTCCTGTTTAATTTGTGGTGCTGCAGCAGAAGCAGACTCTGTGGCTTCTCAGAAAAAAACAAATGTATTGCCAGTAAGAAGATTAGAGGCAGAATCACAGAATAAATGGATTTGTGTTTGAATTGTGTCCTAAGTGTAGTGTGTGTGTCAATGTGGGCATACCTGAGCTCCCAGTCTGGATAGGTAGCGGTTGCGTAGGCCAAAAGCAGACATGGGTGCAAATCTAGCAACCTCTCTTTCTGTCAGTTTACTGGGCCATCTTTTAATCCTGCAGCAATAATAATGTGGCCATCTTTATCATCTCCGCACCCAACACCAACAGGAGCACAATTATGTACAGTAAATATTGCCCATAGAATTAATCACCCACTGGCTGCCGCTAAAGGGCGAGAACACAAGTTATTACAGCATATGGGTAGGTAAAAATAAAGTAGTGCAGAGACAAAGTTTTACAAAAACAAAGAAATCTTTCAAAATTTGTCTTTAATGAAATGCAATTTTTCCATGAATGATGTTTTATCAAATGGGATTTTTTTTGTTTGTTTTGTTTTGTTTTTTTTTACAAAAAACACTTATTTTAAGTCAATGTCATCCTTGATTGTACAATATATCTTCTTTCATTTATCATATAACCTCTTGTACATAGATCAGCAACAGTTTACACTTATTTTCTCCATTAAACAAAGAATGTTATCATAACTCCATAGTGCAAAGAGATCAGGATGGTTTCGGCACAGTCCTCATTTCAGGTGCAAACACGTTTTAATTCTATGCTACTGTCTTGACTGTTTGTTCAGAATTTGACTGGGACTCATTAGCCCGACTGAGGTAGTGAATGTTAATCATCCACAGTGCGACTCTGATGATGACACATGCAGACAAATGTCATTCTATCACACTGACAGAGTGATAGTTCAGCAGAGTGCACGAGTGCTCTGGTGCACTGTTCAGAGCAACGATTTGGGAAAGTGCTTACAACAAAATGAATTACCTGAGCTTGATAAATGAGCAGAACATATTCTATGAAACATTAGTTATACGCCGAACTGTAACTTTATCAGATCGCATTAATAAAACGGTTGAAATTTTGCAAATTATTACACGAGTAGCTGAAAAGTTTGTCTTTTTTTATCATACCTTGCTCATCATTACAGCTGATATGACAGAACTTCTAAAACCAGAACAGAGCAGATAAAGGAATTGAGAAATAAAAACAAGTGAGAAAAAAAAAAATGTAAAGACGAAAGATTTATGCTCTTTTTGAGATTATCCACCATAAAAAGTCAATGAAGCATATGATTAAAACCGAATATGAACTCAGACTCCAGTAAGAAAAACTTTGTTTGGGTTACTGTTAATAAAGCAAGTAACAGAGTTCTGCTCAAAACCACTTGAAAAAAGAACTATAAAAACATTTTAAAAAAACATTGCACCTATACACATATAAAAGCATTGAATTAATATTGGAACCCTATATTATAAGTGGTATTAGCATGTAATAAAGTTAGGCGCTTTTATTCACTGATATCAATACCTTTCCAGAGCACAGGAGTCTCATCTTCCACTGATAAATTAAAATGTTTTTAAAAAAACATTTCAAGCATCTTAACTCGATCAATCTTCAGGCTGAAGTTTCACACACCCAGGAGTCAGAAGAGAGGTAGACAGAAAGGTGTGAGGAGCCCCTGTCCAAAGGAGGATTTGCAATTGTCCTTATCGGGATGATACCAGCTATTAAAACAGGCTTATGTAATAGCCAGGGTCAGACAGTCAGTTCTGGTGGGAAGAGCCACAGATGACAGCACTGGGCAGAGTCAGTAGCTCAGTCCTGCCCCCGTGGCAGATGATTGACAGCTTTGGGGTGGACAGTGCAGCCTGCTGGCTCCAAAGCCCAGGACCATGTGTGTTCCCCTCATCATCATCATCATCTGGAAAATATCAATTACACCACAGAGTGGAAAATATAAGTCAGTCATATATAGGAGTAGATAAACAGAGAGACGGAAACAGAAGTGCGACCTGTTTATTTGTTCCACAGACTCTATAAACTGACCACAGGCAGTGTGCTGTTGCAGGAAACCAGCCCTTATACATAAATGTGAAAGCTGTGACCTACATAATATGCGCCCACTAGAAGCGTAAACAAATGAGACATTTCCTGCACGTTGCTGTACAGTAAGTTTGGTTTCTCTGACTTTCATAAAAATGCGCTGTATCAGTGCAGCATGGCAAATTTTAAGTCACAAAATTAAGCTCTTTTTCAATTTTACAGCAGCACTGATAACACAAGGTGGGTCATCTTTAGGCCACCAGGTTTCCTTTTGATAAAAACTAAATAAAAACTGAAATCAACCAACATATCAATGCTAACATGACACAACCTGAACGTAGTAAACTTTTAAAACTCCCTAACCTTGTAAACAATTAAAACTAAGAGTTGTTGACACACTAACATGATGCTGCGTGAGTCATGTGATCAGAGGGAGGTTTAGATGATGGGACCAAAGAACAAATCCATAAAGATATAATCTGATGAAAACATTTACAGCAACTACTACATTGAAAGCCATTTAAAAAAAACTGAAATCATGTATTTCCTCTCACTGTGAACTCGGACTAGTATGGAATAGAATAAATTTATATATCTATATGTGCAAGCACCCTTTAAATGATAGGGTGGTTCATTGTGTCCCTGAGATGCTTGTCTAATTGTTGTGTAAATGGGTGGAAAAGCAGTGGGTGAAGGTAAAGGGTCAAAGTTACTCACTCTGCATCTGAAGTGGCCTCTTTCTGAAGTTTGGCTCTGGCTGCAGCTGATTGGTTCAAATCTCCTCCTGCAGCAAAAAAAAGGGGAGGGGGTATGTGTTTAACAGTGACAAAGGAAAGGGAAGAACAGGGGTGGGCTGATAAAGACAAATCTGAGAGAATATGGCGAAGGATCGAGGGGAGTGAAAAACGTGTCAGAGTCTCTTCTTACCTCTGAGATAATCCACAAAGTACAGCATAACACTTGCCACCAGGGCAACTGAAAGAAAGCGAGGCAGAAAAACAATGTGTAGAATTACTCACAAGGTCACTGTCAAGTGTCCAACAGGAGTTTGAAGACTATTCTCTCACAGACAGACAAGAGAAAAAATACTGACGGCAAATGCAGGTGCAGAAAAACACTTCCAAAACCAGGTATCCTCTGGTGTCCAGGATGGCTCCTGCTGCCATGGCAATGAGAGCGAGTCCCAGGTTCTGGATCGACTGCATGCTGGTCCACGAAGGAAGAAAGGCAGAGGATAAACAAAAACAACAAATATTAAGTGTTTGTGGACCATCCACACAAGCAGAATAAACTGTGTAGTATGTGAGTCAAACAAGGGTACATACAAGCCGTAGGCCGTCCCCAGCTGATGCTCGGGCACCACAAAGGCCACCATGGGCCACAGTGCACAGGCCAGTAAAGAGTAGGAGACACCCAGCAGGGACTGGAACACAAGCACAATCACACACACGCCCTCACATTACTTTACATGGCTCTCCACAGTCCCCTTGCTGAGATGTAACACAACTTTATATATTGTATGAGAAAATGCTGTGTGGAACTAAAGAAATATCTGATAATGTCCTGCTACTGATTTGAAGAGACAGAATTTTTCTGGTGTCTATTGATATATTTCTTTATCATTATATTTTCAACAGATTTGGTTATTCAACATTTGAGATTTCTTGTCACTGGTTTGACGTTTAATCAGAAAAAGAGGTTATGACACATACTTCTATGCAGTAATCGGGTTTAGCTTAAGCTAAAATATCCGATCAAACCATACACAGAGCTTAGATGAAGCAGATTAACTGAGCTTTTAACTGTTAATAAATCATAGATAAAACTTTGATTGTAGCTTTTTTAGTTGTGAAGATTAAATGTTTTAGAGAAACACTAATGTTTGTTCAGTTTTCAGGGGCTTGCAGCAAAAAATGAATCTGTGTTTAAACTTCTACATGTGCAACCTTCTACTATCCAACTAAGAATGGAGGTCACACTTAGGTTTCTGTGGAGAAAATAATCAAAGCATTTGTAACTACAAGGCCAAAAATTCTGCAACAATCCTCAAGGATCTTAAACTAGACTCAATATCTGCGACTCATCATTCCTCCATCTACCCTGCACACCATAAACCTTACATACCCTGAATCTCAGTACATACGAGTATTTGCTAACAATGAATTCCTTTAATTCATTAAACCATTATATGAATATACAAAATAAATGTTTCAATTCCAGGGGCATTACCATGGCGATCCATGGGTTCCAGAAGGTGAAGGCCAGCATCATGTGAGCGGCGAGTGTGGCGACCACGGCAGTTATTACCCAAATCACATTCTTCCCCGTCCTATCAACCATGAAGCCCAGGATTGGAGATGCAGGGGCTGAGATGATGTACACAATACTGAGAAAGACAAAGAAAGGAAATGAAAGGAGAAATGAACAATACATTCACTGCACTGATACCGAAGATGTATATACACAGCTACATGAGAGACTGAACTCATACTGACTATTGATCTTTGTACTCAATAACCACCTGCGTGTGATTCTGTAAGTTTGAGTTTAATGAGAGTAACCTGGAAACAACCCCTCTGTCTTTACAAACATGATGCAGAGCCATTTATTTTATTTTGTTCCCAGATTCAGGCGATTGAAAATTTCTCAGCTCTCAAATTCTTATATGGAACTGGAAATGTAATTTGCTCCACTGGTATAATCAAAATGTACCCCATAGAGGAAATTCAGAATACGTCAGCAAGAGCAGACTATAATAGTGTTAGTGCCTTAAGGTCTCATGGGCCTATTAAACCTGATCTGATTTACCTGTTGACAGCTCTGGCTTCAGCTGGGGAGAAGTTGAATTTTTCAATGAAGAACACCCTGTAAACAAAGAAAATAAGATGGTGGGCAAACAGTGCAGTGGGATGTTTAGCCTTTATGTTGATGTGACCACAAAGGGACCAGAACTCAAACGAGTGCACCGCTAGCTCTCGCTCTCTCTCGCTCTGTCTCTCACATACAAAGTTTTATGCCACATTTGCATAACAACTATTTGCTCTGTAAGCACTGACCCTCTGTGGAAGAACAACATGTCAGTTGCTAAGTGATTTGAGTGTGCCTTTCAGTAGAGGAAATACAGCCTGTGAAAATTTCAATTTGTTCCTTTCACTGTAAACCCATTTGTCAAACCTCTTTTCATGTCGGACTCCCTCTCTCCCTCCCTCTGTGGGCTGATGACAACGCAACATTGAGAGGTGCACTGTTAAATATTTCCTCAGGCATTGTACTAATCAAACTGAGGTGCCCTATTTAATTAATTTCACACAATCTAAAAACAATACCATCTTGTTTAGGAGCTGATAATCATGATGTAATTGTTATAGCGCCTTTCAAGGGACCCAAGGGCACTTTACATAATTAAGGGACAAGGATACTTTAGGGGACAAAGACAGATTGCATTAGGTCATGTAATGTGCAGTATTACAAAAGTCGTTTTTTGAATGTCCACATGGATGTGGCATTGTGAATATATACATCGGCAAAATATACAGGCACAAAAGCACATTTTTAGTTGCTGAATTTAATTAAGCATATATATAATAGTAGCATAGTATCTCTTACTTTAATCTGATAGATTAAAATTCTGTTTGGAATAAATAAGTAAATCCTGTTGGTAATTAGTGTCAATGGACACAACCATAGATCCAATGATTTGTCAGTTTTATCTTTTTGACTGTTTAGTCCTCAAAAGTACATCCATCCCAAGTGGTCCAATTACAAGTGGACAGCTCTCACTACAGATGCATTAAGGACACAATAAAATTGATCCTTCCTTAATCTCTCCTCAACAGAATGAAAAGGTTAAACCATAACTTAGAATGCATTTTCAAAAGCATTACAAAGTTTAAACTGAAATATGTCGACATAATTGTTCAGACACTTGACTTTTGAATGAACCACACCTTGATCAGAGTTCAGCTCTGGAAAATTCAACTGATTAGATGTGATTTGCACTGTGATTAGACCTGTCTAAGACTACAGTCTGTGTTAGAGAGAGACGGCACTAATACAGTACTCACTGTCCAAGACCAATAAAGGGGAAAATAGCGACGTAGTAGCCAACACAAATGATGAAGATGAGCCACAGGGGGAGGGGGAAATCTTTCACATCTGTCAGCTGGATCACCTCACCTGATGTTCAAGACAGACGGATTAGCTTGAGACTATTATTTGACTTCAACAACTGTAAACTGAAAACAGTGGCTTGTCTCACAAAGACATTCTAGGTTTTAAAAAGGTTAAAGACAAGGTTAGGTGGACAATCAAAGAGCACGTTACCTGTTTTGCCTTGTTCCTTGTTGAGTATCCTCTCTGCTCTTTTATCGAGGAGCCCCAACACCAAGGCACAGGTCAGTGAAAACAGGCAGGTTACAGCAGCTAAGGACAAAGAAAAATAAATATATAAAAGACATAAATACAAATTTAGGTTTCAGTCATATCTTGGTGAAAAGGATATCCAGAATTCAAACTGGATAACTAGATTACATTTAAATTAACGGTAGAAGTGGAGAGAGATTTTAAAGGAAAACCCATGACTACACGGTGGAAGCACTTTTAGCTGAGCTCAGAAGCAAACATAGAAAATTACTGACTTCCCCTAACCCTGTGACTCATTTGGAGCATTTACTTCTTCATTCTCTCTGCCTCTGTTGGTTGCATAATCTGAGATTATTATTAACAGAAAGGATCTAATATCTTCAGCACAGATGGAGCAAAAGCTGAGTCTCAATGTTCAACACTCCCAGTTCAAGCATACTAATATTTACCTATCATGAGTGAAACGCCCAGTGCAGTGTATCCAGGAGATCCAACAAGGTCTGCGACTTTGCTGTACACCCAGCCCATAATGTTCATGTTCACTGTGCTGCCCTTAAGACGAGTGGAGAGTGAAGTCAATGGACTTAAATTGACTTTATCAATAACATGTACTGCGTGTTGTAGAGCAGGTTAATTCACCATGGTTACAGTCTAGAAAAAGCATTAACTACTTTTGTCAGCACGTTCCACTGGCAGCGTCCTTACCAGTCGGGCCATGCTCAGCTGAAGGCCGAACACCAGGTTAAGCTCCTTTCCTTTGAACCAGTTGACTGCATATGTGTTCTGGGCCACAGCCAAGGACTCTCCTCCGATACTACCAGGCAAAAGAAACAAGGGAGGGAGAGCGTGTCAGTTATGTGAGAGCACAAGTGCAACATGAGCCTCAGACTTACAGTGTTGAAAGTCTGTGGAAGCAAGAGTGGAAACACACTGCGCTCAGATTTAAACAGTCAGTGCAGGGTCAGGTTAACTCAGGAGTTTTGGGAGATTGTGTGGCAAGACCAGAAAAAACATATTTATTTTTTTACCCAAATACAAAACGTCCAAATTCCATCAACCAGAAACGGTTCAGCAAAGCTCCAGCAGCAAATATTATCTTTGTAGAAGTGGGAAAAGAAAACAATTAATTGTCATCAAATGTATGTATTTTTTCATCCCTACACAAATAGATGGTTTTAAATGAATAAATATTGGTTATTATATTTTCTCTCTAGATCTCAAGAGTAAACATACTTGTCCAACACAGACAAAGACGGAAAAGATGACAGTTCCCAGCCTGTAAAAAAAACAAAAAACAAAGATGAAACTGACCAAGGTGAGAAACATAAAAAATACTTCCTCGTTTCACTTTCACCTATGGTGGTTATACCTCCTGAACTCAAAACAGATGCAACACCTGTGTGTACCTGATGCCAAAGACCCTGTCGAGCAGGAAGCCCCCGAAGAAGCAGAGGACCACGTTGGGCCAGGAGTACCAGGCGTAGAGCTGCATGAACTCTGCAGTGTTGAGCTTCAGATCCTGGCACAGTCAGGGAGGAAACATGTCAGAGTCTCAGTGATGACTTCAGCTGTTTTTACCAGCGAATGTAGATGTGAAACTCAAGTTACAGTTTATGGACTGAAATCCTGGAGTTGAGTGGGGTGTCACGGCTGCTGTGGTTGGTGTATGAGACAAATCGTAATGATACTTTAATCCAGTGGTTGCCAACCCGTCGATCGAGATCTACCGGTCGATCTCGACAGTCTTCACCGTCGATCTCTGTAACTCTCTGCACTCACAGTCAGCGGTTGCGCGGCAGATCAGCTGTGGGTCGGTTGTCTGTTGTTCACACTCACTGTGTGTCCGCTACTGGCGGCGGAGCAGCAGGTTTTTCTCCTGCATTTCCTTCAATACAAGTCAGATTATGCACTGAACTAGATGTCAGCACTCTACGGTATGAAGTCCTGCATCTTCTGGTCTGTCGACAACAATCAAAGCCCTGTTAGAACAAATGAATGGATTCAGAAGTGAAACGCTGGAGTGCTTTTACTTTGAAACGGGTTCAAGAAGTGTTGTAAATACATTTGTGACATAGACAGATCAGCTTTGTGTTTCACTGCAGAATAAAATGATCTTTCACCTGAGTTTGAATGTTTATCTGTTGAATTTATGTCACAAACACAAAAGAAAAGCACTCCAGCGTTTCTGTTGACCAAATCCATTCTTTTGTTTAAAAAGCTTTTTATTGTGAAATATTTGCAGGAGCTGAAGATGCATGAATTCATACTAAAATAATAAATATGACCCTCCTAAGTGGGTTTTTGCAAGACATCGGGGTGGTAGATCTCGTCTTACGTTTTGAATTAAAAAGTGATCTTTGGCTTAAAAAGGTTGGTGACCACTGCTTTAATAATTACAGATGATCTAATCTAGGGCTGGGCAATATGGCCAACAACAACAACAATATCTTTTTTACTAGAGAAAAGAATAGTGCGCTATTATTCTAGCCTATATATTACTATTGTTTATTGTCTGATTTGTGTTTCGTGTAAAATGAAAGAACTACATGGTCACTTTGTGTCAACCAGGCATTACTATGAACCTTGATGTTAGTGGTCACGTCCTGGTGTAAATGAAATGGACGATTTACCTGAAGGACTTGAGTTTGAAGAGCAGCAGGGTTGTCATAACAGAAGTAGCTTCCTGCAACACAATGACATGACACATCAACATGTCTAGAACTTGACGTTGAGCCATTTGTGACTTATTGATTTAAACCTGCGCGATAAAGGGGGAGCTGAGGGGAAGTCAGGGCTGAAAGCTGCTCTCACCGAATCCCAGGAAGCACATGAACACCAGGACGACCACCCGGTGCAGGAGGTGAGCGGGGTCACAGATGGCGGGCATCGCTCTGCCGGGGCCCCCGTCGGCTTGTCCGCCGGAGAGAGAGCCCTCGTCCCCTTCCTCTCCCAGCAGGCCCCGCCGCTCCTCGAAGTCCGCCATATTCGCTTGTTTGGGAGCAGTGGAGAAATGAGAAGTTTAGACGAAGGGGATCGATCATGTGACCCGCCAGACGTGTCACGTGGTGCTGTGCTGCGTTCAGGCGACGCTGACAGAATGGGAGATTTAAGTTCATTAAAGGTCCAGTGTGTAAGATTTAGGGGAAAGGGATCTATTGGCAGAAATTGAATGTAGAATAATCGTCATGATGTTTTCACTAGTTCATTTTATCTAAATTGTATTGAATTGTCAAGGTTCCTGTGACCTCACAAAACATGATTTTGGCTGTAACCCGGTAACTGATATGCTTATATTAATAATAAGAATATTTTGCACCGTTATCTTATAGGATAAAATGATGTGATGGCATTTTATACCCCAAATTCAACTACATTTCAACATTTCAAAGAATAACTTTACACATCTTATTGAATTCCTTCAAGGTCACGACTGCATATATAACGTGAGTCTCAACTGATATGGATGTAAGCTGCAACGTGACTGGTTGGTGGAGGCATAGAAGCGCTACATGCTTATACTAGTTTGACTCTGTGAAAGATTGAACATTTAAACTATTGTCAATATGACTCTTTTGACTTAGAGCTTAAGTCTACAGCTCTAATAAGCTTCCCAAAAGCCACCTCTCTGCGGCGTCTCGGCATAAAACAGTTCATAAACCTCTGCAGATTGGCATCACTGACATGTAGACTTGACAGGCTTCTCTGACACGTAAGCTGTACTACTGTGTTTCATCAAGTCCTCCACACGCATCCAACGTGAAACTGTCAGCCCCTACCTTCTACCTGTACCCTATTAATCTGCCTCTGCTGTGTCCCCAACCTGTGTCCATGCATACTGCTAAGCAACGCTATCTCCTCGGTATATTTAATTTTCATAAATGTCATTTAGAATTTCTCATAATTCAATACTGCAGGGTCATCTGTCAGGGGATTTAATCTGAGGGTGACGGACGGTCCCTCCCCTGGCTGCAGTCCCTGCTCCAACTGCTCTGTAGCTCATTAATTTCCTGCCCAAACATCAGCCTCTGTTGTATCTGACAGTGGGTGGGTTGGAGGAAGATTGTATTTCATTATTACATTAATCAGAGCCACATGCAGACATGATTGTAAATCTGGTGGGAGGTGACATTAATCCTGCAGAACCAATTTGTGAATGGCCTGAAACCCATCTTCAGGTGTTGCCGTGTTGGAAAAATTTCTATATATTATGTCTTGTCTTATTTAATTCAGGAATTTATCAGACACTACAGAAATATTGTCAAATGCTTTAACAATGTACTACTTATTTTTTTGTGGGGGTGTTTTTTGTATGGCCGTTTGCAGAAATCAGCATACAATCATTTTTCTGCCAAACAAAATAACATTTCACCATCGGTTTAAATATTGTAATTGGGGCTATATTTTTTGTGGCCCACTCTTTGCTTTGACCTGTTACTCTGTTATTACCAATATTGAGATTTTCAATATCAAGACATGAAATTGTAAAATGGAGACAATTTTTTTATTATTATTTCTGTTGTTATATATGTATGTATTGCAGGTAAGGCAAGGTAAGCCCACAGCTGTAAGCATACATCTATTGCAGTCTTTTCTGCTCATCTTGTTATCATTCAGTCCCTGGTCACACTTTTCTTGCTGTATAATTACTGGAGAATATGAGCTGTCAACATGTTCACCCTTTGGCCAAAGAGCTGTGGGAAAGTGCAGTTTGAGCAAGATTAGGGAGAAGGAAGTAGAAAATGACAATAAGCACAACTAAGGAAATGACTTTGCAAACAAGTGGCAGAAATGCTTGGCTAGCACACTATTAAAAACAGTCATTTTTGAAATGAAACATCATCAACTGCCTGACGTAACACAGGGTTTTTTCAACAGATTTCTGTCACCTTCCATTAATTTTAGATTTTGTTCAAGATAAATTGCTATTTACAAGTATAGTAATACATGTGTCTGTGTGATGTTGCCTTGACCATTACAGTTGTGTTCCATTGTCCACTGTCCATTGTTTTACTGTGGCATCCCATTAAGTGCCACTTTATTATTGTTGGCCAGATGTGACATTTCCAGCTGAGTTGATGTTGCTGTTGGAGATTCCGTAGCACCTTGGTTGAACGAGTTACGACAGAGCGCAGTGGTCAGTCTTTTCCTAAACACCTTGCACAGGAACACATAAATAAGTGGATCCAGACATACATTTGTGGCTGATAGCCACAGGGTGGTTTCCTTGGCAATGTAGAGTGCGTTCTTTGCATGACAGAGACTCACAATGTCGCGGGTTTGGGTCAGAGTGTAGGGAATGCGGGCGAAGTGGAAGGGGGCGAAGCAGATGAAAAACACAGCCACCACCACAAAGACCTTTGCTTTGGTTCTGCGACTGGCTGCCTGACATTTGCTCTTTGAGGCTTTGTATGACTCATAAACCTTCTTGCTGATGAATGTGTAGCAAAACACCATCAAGGCCAGAGTCCCCCAAAAAACCACCTGCAAATATACATAAAAAAAACATAAGGCAAGGCAGAGACTCTCATGCTTTTTCTCAAAGCTAATTTTCATCTCTTGTGCTTGAGCAATTCAAAGGTCAGTTGTAGTATGAACATTTAATCGTTTAGTGGTAGATAACAAACTGTAAATTTGAGAACGTTACTGCAAATATACTGAAGCAATAGTTAAACATTTTCATAATATGCTTATTCACTTTCTGGATGAGAGTTAGATGAGAAAATGCACACAACTCTCATGTACTGTACGCACATTAAAAATGTAGGTATTACTTTATAGCATAACTTTGCCTGGTCTGGAAACAGTGAAAAAAAAAAAAAGATCAGCTCCTTGCAATTACCTGACAGAAGTAGTTGAATCCTTCATGCCACATCAACCCTGCTTTGCTCTTCATGGATGTGCACTTCAGTTTGCCGTCAGAGATCCGTGGTGGTTGGTCACTGAGAATAACGTTGGGCAGCGCTAAAGATAACATCACCACCCAGACAGCCGCACTCAGCACCTGACCAACTCGGACACGCCGCAGAGCACATTTCCCAAAGGGCCGGACTATTTTCAGGTAGCGGTCCAGGCTGATCAGGCCCAGCAGGAGGATGCTGATGTACATGGTGATGTAGAAGAGAACCGCAGAGTATCGGCAGTGGAAGGCACGCAGATACCAGAAGCCCACACCCGCGTCACTCAAGACTCTTATTGGGATGGTCAAAGTCATCAGCAAGTCGGCCACCACCTGTTGGTAAAAGATCACACGTTTTTTTTTTTTTTTTTTTCTCACTCTAGAACAACAGCCACATTTCTAAAGCCTTCATGTCTTACCACATTTTTTAGAAAGACCACAAATGTTGAGGTGCTGGGGATGCTGAAGAAGATCCATGCAGCCAGGGAATTCAGTATCAGAGCAACTACGAAGAGGATGCTGTACAAACAGGGGAAAACCACAGCTGTGATGCTGGTGTCTCGGACACACTTGATGGAGGTGTTTGACAGGGTGTTGTTCATCTTGCGATCCTATTAGGCACCTTTGAAGGATAAGACAGACAGAGGAGATTAGAGAGATAAATAATTCTAAAAAAATTAATTATGAAAAGAAGAAGCACTTATGTTATTCTTACAACATACTGCAACAGATTTTTATAGATTGGGACCCTGTGTCTGCTGTAAACATTGTCTGGATCGCCCAGAAATTCCTCAAAAAGATTGTAGCCAAGTCATCAATGTGTTTTCAATCAACAGAATCTTTGAAAACTGCAATCTTGCAAGGTTAATGAAAGTAAAACAAATCTTGAATCCACCCCTAATCCAGATCAGTACCAACATTGATTGGGTTCTTCCCTGACCCACATCACACATGTCCATGAAGTTTTATTGTAATCCATTCCATAGTTTTTGCGTAATCCTGGTTACAAAAAACAAACGCAAATGGAAGCATTACCTCCATGGTGGAGGTAACAATTAAGTCTGAATGATCATGAATCTTTCAGTCAATTCAATTTTATGTAATGTTGAGGAGCATATAATTAAACAATTAAAATATACAAACTTAATATGCTGTGGATGCCTCATTTCACAACATGTAGACCAAAAGTCATTTCAGAATTTACCTTCTTCAAAGCCAGTTCACAGTGGTAAGACTGTCACTTTAGTTCAACTGTCAGAATTCAACTACCTGCTGGATTTGTTCATGATGAATTCTCCTCCTGTCTGACAGTACATATGTCTGCTGTGTTGTCTTAAAATGAAAACCTTAACAACTTAGAATTACACTGAGCCCATGAGCAGGTGCAATGGCAACTAAAACATACAGTACTCTCAGACTTTTGTCTGTTTTACTGTGCATACTGATGTAAATTAGCTCTGTTACAAACATTGTTAGACAAATGATATCGTTTGTGCCCAGTATTTTATCCAGAAAAAGACAATAATTGAGTCTTACCTCCGTATTGTGTCCCTTTCGTCTGTGACTGTGGGGCATGTGGGAAACAATGACTAAAGCGATACAAAATTACACTATTGCCAAAAAAAAGGAAGAAGTGAATGAACTCATTTCCTCTTTTGCACCAGCAGGAAGAAGGTGAAACAAAAGAAAATCCCAATTTTAAAAAGAAACCTGTTGGTGTTGGTTCAGTTCTTTAATCAACCAAGAAACACTCTGAACTAAAGAGGTTTCTGTCCCTCTGTGTCTCCCAGCATTTCTCTCTGTCCTGCCTGCTTTATGCATGTGTGTGTGTTTGATGCTCTTACAATGGCTGGTCTCTGGAGCTACTGTGAGGCTGTCTTGTCACAATCCCAAAGAGTTTGCCAGTCTTCCTCCGGGTGAAAGAGCCTTTCCTTCCTTGCTTCCTGTTCCAATTGTCGGGTGAGAAGCTTGTTCTGCTCCGTGCCAGTGCTCTTGTCTCCGCTGTTGCCTGCGTCACCCCTCAATTGCTGTTGAGAGGCAAACCTGAAAGTCATGGACTCATTTCTTGGCCCACATCTAGATACCTACTGCACCCATCGAGCTCCTCCCTCCATCATACTGCTGTCTATTTACCAACGCTAGCTGTCCATCTTGCAAGAAACTCAGCTGTGGTTTTTGTGGGGTAAGAATGACATGTAGTGGTATCTATGTACTGTGCTGCTTCTCATGAAATGGCTTTGTTTATTTTTTTCCATAAACTTTGCCCCAACTGGGCCAGCAACTTTATGCAAAGGTTTTTCTCATTATTTTTATTTACTGTTTATGCATGCATGTAATTTGCAACACCAAAATGCAACACACAGCACTGTATTAGTGACTGAACATTGCCATTTGTGCTCTCATGATTAAAATAGTGGTGACAAAAAGACAACATGATTTCCTGTGTGATATCTGAGCCAAGCATTATGACAGATGGGAAGAAAAAAAACATTTGAGGGATGACAGGCATGTGTTTACTACAAGTCCCAGAAACATCTACTGTTATTGTTATATAATAAGAACATGTTTTACTGTAAACTAACCAGGACCCAAATGGACTGTAAATTCTATCCTTATTTTACTTTAATTTAGATCACAGTTTATACAAGAAATTAGACAATGGTCGGTTTATTGGTTTGACAAAATATCTATATTTCTATTAATCTATATGAGACAGTTTGATCCGGCCCACAAGTCAATACAAGGGGGGAATTATATTTTGCAATAAAATCAAGTATGAAGTGGTCCAATGAGACAAACGAAATGGACAACCCAATATAGTTTTCTTTGTTGGAATTAAATAAAAGCCAGTGTTGGAACGTGGTCACAGTGATGACTAAGGCCAATTTTGATTTATAGTTGAAAACATGAAGCTAACCTGGATGAGCTATGTTTACATGAACAAAACATAATAATAATTTCACCCTTATAATGTTTATGTCACTCATCCTCATTTTATTTCCTGCATATGGTTTTCAAGCTTTTAAAAGTCACACTGACAAGACACAAAACATCACAGCAAATTTCAACATGGGTTAAAACAGTTATTATGAAGGCAGTAAATAGTAAGTAAACAGAAAAAATGTTAAATAATATGTGAAACAGTATTTGAAGTCTACAAAATATGCAGTGCCACCTGAGCTCAGTCCATTTTCATGACGACACTTTCATGATGTCTGTCAGAATCTAAATTGAAACAGCCTCTCCTTTGCCTGCTGAAGCAACTTTAAATGAGGTGGAAACTTTTTTCATCATAGACACAAGCTTGTCCTTGAACTCTCGACACAAAAAGACGTAGATAAGTGGGTCCATGCAGATGTTTGTGTTGGCGAGCCAGAGGGTGAGGTCCTTGGCGAACTTGCTCTTTAAGTAAGAGCAGCTGGTTTTGGACGAATGCTGGTGGACTTGTTGAAAAGTGTAAGGGATCCTGAAAATGTGGTAAGGTGTGAATGAGATAAAAAACACAACAACAACCATGAATACACGAAGTTTGATCTTTTGCTTTCCCTGGCTGTTGTTACTGCCAGAGTTTTTAAAAGACTTGATGACTCTGTGTGTGATGCAAATGTAGCAAACTGCAATGACAACACTGACGAGCCAAAAGAAAACATTCAGGCAGATCACAATCTTCTTATGAACTTCAATTCCAGCTGGTCCTTTCAACATCATGCAAGTGCTGATCTCTGTCAAGTTGGCCACTGACTTGTTGCTCAAAATGATATTTGGTAAAGCTGCGCCTCCAAACAGTATTACCCACACTGAGCCCGATATCACTTTGCTTAAGGTCAGATTCTGAGCTAACTTGTTTTGAGGTATCATGATCTTGAAGAAACGGTCCAGACTGATAAAGCCCAGCAAAGCGATACATGTGTACTCTGTGCTGTAGAAAATGGTGCTGAAATAACGGCATGACGGTACAAATAATAGTTTTGACAGATGCGGCAAGTGACCCGCAGCAATCAACGGGATGATCAACGTCATGATAACGTCAGCAGCGACAAGATTTTTCAGGTACACCACAAAGGTGGTGGTGGACGTAAGGTGCAGAGACACCCAGGCTGCTACACCGTTCAGCAGCAAAGCGATGGGGAGCATGGAGAAGTAGAGAGCGGCAACAATGTTTGGGTTGTAGGTGAAACCGTCGCATGGGGAATCATAATGAGATGTCTGATTAAACGCCATCAATGCACCTGCAGGAAAATTAGAGAATTAAAAACATACAAAACCCACAGTTAGACTACTACATTTTAAACTATTATTTGGACAGTTAAGTATTTTAGCAGGGTCCCATTGATAACAAAAGAAATCATTCATCAACAAAATACTCGTCGTTGTTTAGAATTAAATCAGTTCTGCTGGTTACCATCAAATGTGAGATCTATCCATTAATTCATGATCCAAAGGAATCAAGGGGAGGAGTTTGTTTGTAAAGCAAAAGTTTTATATTTTATTGTTGCATGTACATTTTTTAAATTTACAGTAAATTCAACAGCAGTGTGAATATATTCAAACACAAATTAATTTAGAGGAGCTTAAAGGTTTCCTTGTCCTTTCAAGGTTGTTTTTTTTCCCTATCAAACTCTACAAGGCAGAGTTGATTACCTAAGTTACAAACACAACTCTTTCAACCAAAAAAACACTGACAATAACTGCGTTGCACCTATTTTGTTTAAAATGAAGCTAAAACTTTTCTTTTGAAATAAAAAAAAATACTATCCTTGCACAGTAACACAATGAACAGGATTTTTTTCAGAAGAAGAAATACTGAAAGATTCAAACACTAGGTTGTACTTACGGTTGACGACTCAATTCATTCCTCTCAAACACAAAGATGCGAGATGGACCTGCATGTATGACAAGGGACATGGTAGGTGTTTAAGAAACACTGTTGATTTTCCTAGCAAACAAATCAACAGATCAGCTGCGATGGGAATGGCAATTTATCAGGACATATGCAAAAATAGGAAAAACAGACTGGTCTTTATCCAAAATCAACTCAAACATCATGTTCTCAGCTCAGACTGTAAACACCTCATAGAACTCAGACTTGGATTCAGGGAAACTAGATAATCTGGTCATACATTAAACATCTCTAACTGATTGCAAGAGTCTGCAGCAACTGATGCAGTGACACCCTCTGACCAAAAGATGGACTCATTTGTCAGAGTCAAACAGTCCAACAGGCCTCAGTGAAGTGGATGTTTTCCTTATAGAAAACAAGGTCAGCAGCTGTTTATTCTGCTGATGGTGCTGTAGTTTAAGTTGCAGGATAACCATTAAAATGATTTTGTATATAGTAATAACAGTTCAAAAACCTGCAGTGCAGTCTAGATTACTCTGATGCATTAGTATTTAATTGAATTGTAACCTAGGAGGACATTGTTGGACACACACCATGTTTCTTAGAAAGCAATTAAAGATAATGAAGATATTTACAGAAGCAATGAAAAACTGAATACTGAAAGTAAAGAAAAATATTTTTGATTAATGCTTTTTTGCAGGGATAATTATTAAATTTGGACACAGGATTTACAAGAATTTTGTAGAATTTTATTGTTACAATTTAACATCGTCATTGAAATAATAGAAGTACTGTGTATTGTTCTTGAGTGCAGAAAAATACAATATACTCTTAAGTGATATTTTATCAAAGGCAAAACAATTTTAAAAAATCTCTTATATATCTTAAGTACACTGTTAATTTTATTGTCCTTTAAACAAACTCATGGGAGTCGAGGCTTAGTTAAACGACAACAATGTCTCTGATAAGATCCAGACACAGAAATACGACACAAATGTTGAAACATTACCTTCACATTTATTAGTTGAGATTTTTCTTTTGTTTGTTTACCTTGTTACTGTTCTCTTAGTGGATATTCAGTCTCAATAGAAGCAAATCTTATGGCAACATAAGGCAACAATACGACATACAATCTAAAGATTATAAAGTCACCAAACCAATAACCTATTTTCTAACTAGGAATATCTTCTTTATCTCTTCTAACTTATTTTATTTCATTTTAAGATCAATCTCTGACCTTTTTGTCACAGGAAACTTTCTACTTTTTACCTGAGTGCAACCCAACACAGATCCCTCCAGCTTTCAGGATGTTGACCAGTTTGTCTCTGTACTCTCTGCAGAGATAGATGTAGAGAAGAGGGTCCAGACAGGCGTTTGTGGTAGACATCCACAGGACTATGTTATGAGCTACCTCCACCCCCATTTCCATGCAGACATTATCTTCAAAGAGTATATGTAAAGTAAAAGGAATGCGCATCACGTGGAGAGGCACAAAACACACAAAAAACACCAGAAGGATCAAAAAGACTCGCAGTTTGGTTTTCTTCTTTCCTTGGCTGTTGTTGCTCCCGGAGTTTCTGAAGGACTGCAGGACCTTCACCGTGATGCGGATGTAGCAAAATACGATCAATACGGTGACGAGCCAGAAAAGAACCTCCATGAATAAAACCACAAATGCATGTAGTCTCTCACCAGCTGGACCTTTCAGGGACATGCAGAAATCTCCTGAGTCATTACCAGGGTTCCTGTTGGTTAGAATGATGGTTGGGATGACCGTGCTGCCAAATATAACCACCCAAACCAGAGTGGACATCCCCAGACTGAACATCACATTTTGTCCCAGCACCTTTCCACACGGTCTTACAATTTTGAAGAATCGGTCCAGGCTGATTAGACCCATTAAAGCGATACCCGTGTACAGGGAGGAGTAGAACAATACGTTAGAATAACGACAGGCGAACACCTTCAGCTCGACGGCTGCTCCAGGAAGCATACTGGCTGCCATGGGCGGCAGCGTCAAGGTCATGAGCAGGTCAGCAGCCACCAGGTTTTTTAAATACACAATGAAAGTTGAAGTGGAGCGGAGGTGCAAAGACACCCATGCTGCTACGCCATTGAGTAGTAATGCAATAGGGAACTCGAAGAAATAGAGGTATGAGATTGCCACATTTAAGGTACCTCTGGAAGTGACACACTTTGGGGAGATTTATGATGTGCTGTTGGCCACCATCATGAATTCTGAAATTAGAAAAAAAGGAGGATATCAAATAAAGACTAAACTATATTAATTCTGCAGAACTCTATTGGGTTTCTTATCCTGGACTGGTCTGCAATATGTATGATATCTTCAACACTTTGAGTACAAAAACAGTATTTCAGAGGTAGCAAGCTTTTCAGGACATGCAATGAATTGCTGGTGCAACATTTAGCTATGTGAGGAAATACCATTTAATTTTTAGATGGATTCTGCAAAGGCTGAGAGGTTTCAGAGATGAATGGCTGATGTCTGAAGCCTATAGGGGGCGTAGTTATACATGAATTGCTCTTCGCTTGGTCATCATTATGAACTGAGAGCTGCTCTACATTATTCCAGCTCACCCTGTGGGACATGATTTGCATTTGTCATTAATGTAGATGAAATTTGTTACTATAATTTGTTTACATTGCTCAACCAAAGCATTTGAATGCATTGTGGTTGCTGAACATGACACTTCCTCTTTTGACACTGAACGAGGGAAGTTATGCAATTGTTGGATTAGTTTCTACCACAGTGAGCACAAAATGACTTGTGTTACTTTATGCTAATTAGACTACATCAAGTCTACCAAATTTTACGTTTCTGATGTTGAGGTGCAACCCTGTCTCTCAAAACGTTACTTTAAACCTTTACTTTTTCGTATGTGTAAAATTTCACTTCAGCAGTGTATGGACTCTAGAAGTTTAGATATTAAAGTAAATTATAATTAAATACAAATAATGGACTGTGCCAAAACAATTTAATTGTGGTAAGATTCATATTACAATTGTTATTATCTAATGAAGCTTGATGTAATAGAGCCAATCTATATCTGATACAATTACTATTTCCATAAAATTATACTTTGAGCAAAGCCAGTTCACAGCAATAACAATGACCAAATGAAAAAAAAAAGAAGTCTTAACTCTTATTTCCACTTTCTGTGTTTGATTAATGTATCCTCCCCTTTTCTTCACCTTGATCACCACTTGTTCGTCTCCACTACATTGTGAGAATCCTTCTTCTCAATAATGTTTAAGCCCGGCAACATTGAAGTTAATCAAACTCATAGGCCATGCTGAGGCAGTATTGATATTGTACATGCTGAGTCTTAGTACGCTTTCTCAATAATCAACCAAATATTTTTAGTTCAACTACCCCCATGACTTGCCATAGTAATCTGAAAAACCTTTTTTTCCATAGAGTTGTAAGAAATAATATTATGCCACTCACCACAGATGATAATCTCTTTAACTCCACCTTCACAAGAGCAATAACTAATGTTTCAACTCTTCCACCCGACAGATTCAAATCTATGACATTGAGCTGCTTTGGAGAAAAACTATTTAAATTCCCTTCACCGCTGTGAGCCATGTGTTTTTAAACTACAGTGAAAGCATTTCTGACTTTGAATAACAAATTAAGGGTGATTTCTTTCTATAGGTCTCTTCTGACCATGAACTCCACATGCTTTAAACTAAAATGTTCCTTTCATTCGGACCTGCATATGTGACAATCACAATCACTCACTGATAATGTAAACAACTTTCATGCACAACTTTCAGTGTATTGACAGGAGTTCACATGTAAGACTTGTAGTTTAGTGTACAGGCAAGACAGTATAAAAAGGAATAGTGTGATTGTTCTTAAAATTTTATTCTATTTTCAATTTGAAAATTATTTTTTCAAGATTGGAAGCTGTAAAGATTAATTTGTTTAGGGGGAATATCAAAGTCCAGTCTCTTATATCCATTAAAATGAGGAAAGTGGAGCATATTGTTATATTATATTTTAGTATAAGTTTCACAAATAACCAAATACTTGTCAAATCAGCACCACAAATAGTCTCTTTTACAGAGGAGGACATGTTTAGCAATAGTCAACTAAAAGGCTGTCGTTGGTTACAGCTTCTTGATCCCAAAAAATATATTTTTCTTTATTCTCATTATATAAACACTTTTATTACAAAATTACAACTTTAGTCTCATAACCTTATTCCTCAACATGACCCCAACAGTCCTTTGCAGTGTCTCAGTGTTACAAAAAACCTTTGCACACAACAACAAGCTGATGATAATTGTTAGTTGCAGTGTATTAACTATTAAAGACATTGATATTATGGTGATTTATTGATTTGTTTTCTGTTGTTGGGGAAAGGCTGTGGGACTGAATCACCGTCACATACTGCACATCCTCTATATAGTGACAAAGTTAAATTCTCATTATTATGAAACAGCAACACCTCACTACCACGTTTCAAGTGTCTTTGTGCTGTGCAGTGACTTTACGTGCACAAGGAGGAGTCTCTCAGAGGGGTGCTGCCCGTGTCCGTGTTCGAGCTTCTCCGTGTCAGCCAGCTGCAGGTACCAGAAGGAATATGCAGGGTCTTGAACAGTGTGGTCCTGAAGGACTTGCAGAGGAAGAAGTAGATGAGTGGGTCTAGGAGAGAGTTCAGGGATGAGAGGAACAGTGTACTCTCTTTCAGCTGAAAGAAGAAGAGCTTGAGCTTACAGTCAAAGAGAACCCCTCTGGTCTGGCTCATGGTGTATGGCACACGGGCAAAGTGAAATGGCACAAAGCACACGAAGAACACTGCCAGGACCAGAAACACGTTGGCGTTTATTTTCCTCTTGGGTGGCTGGGACTTGAGGGTTGTTGTCCTGCTTTGTGCTCGACATACAGTCCCTCCAGTGCTGTGGGACTTACTGCGAGAGTAGGACCTGTACAGCTCTTTGGTTATCAGAGTGTAGCAGACTATCACAGTCACTAGGTTGCCCCAGAATATAACTTGACAGACATGATTCACCACCTCATGCCAAAACAGCCCGGCCTCCGTCTTCAGGTCGCTGCACTTGAAGTATTTAGAAGTTGGGGTTTTCCACGTCAGGATCACATTGGGCAGACAGAGGACGAGCAGAAAGGTCCAGATGGAGCCCGAGAGCAGCTTCCGACGAGCTAACCGGGACGCGTTAGTGCCCCTGAAGGGCGTGAGGGTCTTTCTGCAGCGATCGATGCTGATGAGGCCGAAGAAGAGGATGCTGATGTACATGGTGAGGTAGAAGAGCACTGAGGAAACTCGACACACAAACACACGCAGGCCAGTGGATGCCATGTTGGAGTCTGATAACACCTGGGGAAACAAATCACATTCAAGTCACATCTTTTATTTGTATTATAACAGTTTTTTCATAAACCACACTTTGAAGGTTTACAAATTATATTAATAATGTTTTTACAGCTGCTTTTTGGCTCAATTAGTGGCCAATAATGAGAATAATATTTGGGTTGCCAAGTTGTCTTTATCCTCCAACAGGACACATCTCATTAACGTTTATTATTTATTAACAACTAATGGATTATTGTAAAATCAGTTTGACTGATTTATTACCATGTATGCCAATGACTTGCTAAGTGTAGATGATGGCTAATTAATTCTGACTCTATTATCTTGTGTAACTGCTATTTTTTTTATTTCTATGTATTAATTGCTTCTTGGAATAACCTTGATTCATGATTCATCAGAAATATAAATTTCTCCTAGTAACCAAACATTGTTGAATATGTGCTATAATGAATCTATTAGAAATACTTAAATCAACTAATTATGACTTTTTAACCCTTAATCAAGTGATAGCAGTTTAACCAAACCTTGAAAGGGAATGTGAAGGTCATGATGACGTCTGCAACCACGATATTCTTCAGGTATATGATAAAGTGAGACTGGGAGGGGATACGAAAAAACACCCACACCGCCACGCCATTGAGCAATAACCCCAGCAAGAAGAGGAAGGAGTAGAGAACAGGAAAAACCACAGTCTTCAACACGTTGTCACGGGAACAAGTGATATTGGTTAAGCTTTGATTGCCAGAGAACTGAGGGAAAGCTGTGTGTGTCTCCATGTGGGTTGCCTGAAAAGACAAAGATGTTAACACTCCACTATAATCCACTTTTTTATTGAATGTGAGTCATTTTTATAACTGCTTACAGGTTACAGGTTTTTGTTCTTCAGGCTCTGTGCTCTGTTAATTTCTAAGTCTCACCTTAAATTTCTGTAGGTTTGTGACAATATAAAAAAATTCGAAAGGTCCCATTAACGTAAAGTTCTCATATTCATATTATTGAAAACTAATAATATACTTTTATCGACAAATGACCTCACCTCAATCTAGTTGGCAACTCCACCCACACTGAACCCCATGTCAGTTGAAGCAACGCACAAATACCCAAAACACATTTAGTGAGTGGGTGTCCAATTTCTTTTAAAAAGTTTAACACTGAGTTGAACAGGCAACAGTTCTTTGGGGATGGACTGAAACCTACTGGAAATGAAGATGATATGTGACACTTTGATAAAGTGTCTATTGTCTTATTTCAAAATGAAAGAGCTTGAGTGCAGAGCTTGAAGAACAAAAATGTAAATAACTCAAAATCCTGTATATAATGTCCTTGCAATTTCGTAAACATATCGTACATATTTTGATTGTTAGGTGTCATGGTATGAAAAAAAAAACATTGAACAATATATCATTCCTAAAATGACAATTTAAAGCTGATAGACTACTGGTTTTAATGCATTTATGTAAACGTCAACAAGCAAATTTTGCAATAAAGTTTGAAACATTTACAGAATCTGTAAACTCAATACATTCTGCACACTCAGCCTGTTTTAGTGTAATAAATATAAATTAAGTTTTGTAACTGACCTTTTAATTTTACTGATTAAGTAGAATCCCAGTGCAGTTCCCTTGGAGCCGTTTTGTCCCTTCTGCTAATATATTCTGTACAACTGTGGACTGACACTGACCATCTGTCTGTGTATGTGTGTGAGGATTTGTGATGTAAAAGTACGACTAACACGTTGTCTTTGCCTTCTCCTTTCTGTTTCCTGTCATGTGGAGAGGCTGCTGGCAACATGTCTACATCTATTTGAACAGACATGGAGAAAAACACACAACCACAGTATTAATCAAATATAACATTCAATAGTCATCATCATCTCCTGAGCTACTGTTGCAGCTGTGTATTTATGGTTTAGTCACAAGTATTGATGTAAATGTTGTTTTGATTAACGTGTCTTAAGAATCTTTAAATATGAAACTCTTCATTGTTTTTCAGATAATGTGCTTCCCCATATTTTCATCTTTCACTTTTGTCCACCACTGTCCATAGCTTCTGCAATATTTTTACATAATTTACATTTATGTGAGTTACCAAGAGTCAGGGTTATCTAGGGCAGAACATCACATCTGAGTAATTGAATGCATCCGTCTCTTTGGTTTTCTTGAATGCCTTTCTGCCAAGTATTTCATTTATTAACTACAGCTTAGAAGTTTTTTAAGACATTTGGTGTTTTTAAACAAATTGCACTTTGAGCTCAATGCAATTGAACTGCTCTATTTATTGCCCTAAACCAAATTGCCTTTGGAAATAATAAAGTTGCATTGTATCGTATTGTTTTTTATTTTCTATATCCCGCGTGTTACTGAACTGCAGCCTATCCTGAAGTATGTCCAGGACAATCTGGTGAGGTATTCATCACTTTAACAGACATTTCACATTTCATTGGTGCATGTATAACTATTTATAATATATCATCAAACACAGTGAAACAGGTTACATGATTAGACTTTAATGCAATATATCGCAGGTCCATCAAAAACAAACAGCTTGGAAGCACATGGCACTAATACCTTCTGTTCTGCCATGGAAAAATATAAAATGGTTGTTGGCCGATTCGTCACCGATATAAAACTTTTTTCCAGTGCTCAAAGTTTCATTCAGATTTTGAACTCACTGTCCTCCCAGGGTCGTTCTGGCTATAATGTCTCACTGCAGGGTCAACAAGTCATCGTCCAGGTTGTAAAACAAACTACTTAAATGTGCCCTCACACTCCAGCCTCTCTCTGTTGGACACAGACCATGAGCAAACTTCTTTCCATTAAAACGTGTCTTTCTTAATGTGTAGCAGACAGAAAGCCCCGACTGAAGTTGAAACACCAGGACAAAAAAAAAACTGCAAAAGTGAATTTTATCCAGGATTCATGTACTGAAATAATTCTCCAGAATGAAGTTTGGAGTGTACTGTAGTGATAGTAATAATGATGACAATGATATTAATACATGTGGCCTCTAAATGTTATAAAGAGTATAAATAACCTGTGAGGTACAATATCATAGGAAGACACATTCACACAAAGTAAAATTAAAGCCCTTTTAGTGGTATTTACATTTAGCATTTTCCATTTATAATGTAATGAATTTAGTGTGAATTTAAATGTAGAATGATAAAAATATTATTTTGTGCATTTAATGTCAATATTCTAACCCTTGTGCCTACAATATGTTTTCAGTGAAATGTAAGTCTACTTAAATGCATCTTACTTTGTTTTATTTGATTCATTTATTAATTTGAAATAAGGCAGAGAAAGTGCCAACTTATTCAGAAGACGATCCAGACTTTGTTTTAAATTATTTCAAAACACTGTACATGTAATAACATCTAATAACTGATCCTTTTCTATTACATCATTGTGACTGTACCATAGTCATTATTAAAGCTTGTACAACCATAAACCTCATTGACAAACACCACTGCACTTTTCTGCACATCTTGGTTCTACTTCTCTCCTGATCACATGACTCTGAAGGCCTTCTGCCCCTCATTCCGTGGAAGGCCAGCAGTAAGCATGGCAATGCTGCAACTTCCCGTGTCTGGGGCAAGATTGGTACAGTCAGCAGCATTCGTTTCCTAGATTAATGCTTATCAAAATGTCTGTGAATGTGTGTTCTCCTTTGTCAAGACTGGTCCCAATGAGGCAAAATGTAATTTTCTGAGGTCCTAGTTAAAGACTTGGAGTGAATTGGAGTGAGGGTCAGGCATGAATTGTGTGTATGTGTGTGTGTGTGTTTGTGTTCTTTTCCTTACATCTTTGTGAGGACCATTTTAAGTAGACCATACAGAGTGACAAGATTTTTGGAAAGTGAGGTCATTTTGACCAGTCCTCACTTCTTCAATGTGTTGTTTGAGGGTTAAGACTTCCTTTTTAAGTTAGAAGTCGGTTTAGGTTAGGGTAAAGGTTTAGCAAATGTATTATGTCAATGAGTGACCTCACTAAGACAGAAGTACAAACGTGTGTATGTGTGTGTGTGCGTGTGTTTAAAAACTGTACAGGAGGTCAGTTTCTTAGCCCTTCATTTTTGCAGGCAATCATTTTTCCCAAAGCTGTGATCTATGATGTACATCTGGGTCTGATCAGGGCATCAAACATGCGTTCTCATGGAGAGGGCTGAGCAGCTACACACACTCACACTTGCTGCTTTTCAGTTCAGTCTTTATGTAAGTCACCTTTTCATTTTTCTAATTATTTGCTTCCCTTCTTTTTTGACACGATTGGGTCAAAAGGTTGATCAGTTTTTGAAATTATGTGCTCTGCTTTTATTTTGGTAATCAAACTCCAAAATATAATCCAGTGCAAGGGTCTTTGTCAGATTAATGCAAACACAGAGACAAAAGCAGCACGCAACACATTTCACCTACACAGTAACTCTTGTCAGCTTCCTCTCAGACAGACAGGAAGAGGGAATGAGGAGAGGAAATAAATAGAAGATGATGCAAGACTTGACTGAAATTTCATTTAAACCCCACTGAGCCTTCTAACCCCCCCCAATCCAAAACACACACATGCACACACACACACACAGTCTTTCTTTAACTCAACCGTTGACCTGTGAGTCATCACTCTCTCCCCAGACCACAGGCCTACGGACACATCACTACTGTCTTGACAACAGAGTCAAGATAAACACTGTTCTCTCACCTGATGTTGTTAATAATGCTGGAGAGTGGAGGGAAAAAACTCCCATCTCCTCTCTGCGTCAGGAGAACCAGAGGGTCGTATCGTCGAGTCAAATTCCTGGCGTGAATTATTGTTTCAATCCGCCCCCTGTTTCTGCACACGGTGTGAGGCCCCCAAGCAGAAATAGACCGTTTTTACGTAACCTTTGGAGAGGCTTTTAACGACACGAGGGAGACTGAGGTTAGGGAAAAGGTGATGAAAAGAAACTCTGTGTTTGGGGGCAAACATCAAGCTAATAACAGACACAGGGCCGTAACAGCTGTGGGGCAGGATGAGTCTGAACTGTGACCTCTGACCTTTTCAAATTGTCAACTGTTGATCATCTTGTCACTGCGGCAGGTAGAGGGACGCAAGGAAGGAAATTCTTACTACATAGAGAAAGAGAGATAAAAACACTGAGGGTGGTCTTTGTTGCGTGTTTGTTTGTGACTGTCTTTGTCTTTATGTATGCATGTTTATGTGTGTGTGTGTTTCCTTTGGCTTCACATTAGTTTCTCCTCACAGAGTTGAAATGTGTGGGTCACCGTTTGTTTTGACAGTGTAAGGTTTCTTTAGCTACTGCTGCTGGTGTGCAGCTCAGTGTAGGTTGCCACAGGTCTGTCGTCCATATGGTTATCCAAACTGACAAATCTAAAGCAGCTCCTGAAGAGGTGAAGAGGGACATGGGTATAACTAAAAATAACACTGTTAGCTACAATGGTGCTACATTTTACTGAAGATGAAAACACTTTTCCTGTCAAACATCACTACACTCCTTGTGATTAAAACATTTATTTTACAGAAATGGTCTACGTGTCCCACTGGAGCTGCTTGTTTTATTTCTTTAGGAGCTTCGTGAGGACATAAAAACTCCACACACACACAAAAAAACAAAATCTTATCCTCCTGTTTTAGTAAAGACACTCGTTCTTATTGCCCAAATTAAAGCAAAATATCTTCCATACAAATGACCACAAGCCTTCTGGTTTTCCTTTATAGTTTGACCAATCGTGATTGAGATGGCTTAGGTAGCCTGCAGGTCCACAGTCCACATAGAGAGCAAAAGAGGGGACATTGATCGAAATGCATTGGCTATTGCCTTTTTAATTT